AAAAGTGGCTAAAATGACTTTATATAAAAATGTGTTTCTGCCTACTTTGTTCTACAGAAGTAAAAGAAAATGGTCATGGCAGAATAAAGCATTTTAAAAAATCAGCAAATAGGCAATTAAAAAGCGTATATGGTGAAAGAAGAAAAGTTATTAAATAGGAATTGACAAGATCCTTTCAGGGGAGGGAAGGAGACGATTGAAGAAAAGGCAACCATTTTCTAAATGTGGGGGAAGGAAGGATGAGCTGCAGAGAAACGTATGGAGTGATATAGTAAATAGTTCTGTAAACTACATTTAGTTTGAATTCCTTTTATTTTTTCTTAATTCCTGCCTTTAATTTCTTTAGCTCACTACTTCTCACTCTACATAACTGCACTTACTGAAAAGGGAAGAGTGTGATGGGCATGGGTATAGAATTACTCCTTAACATTAGCCATTAACTTGTGTGGCAGAGACCCTTGTAGACAGAGAGGTAAAGAACTGACTAGCGAGTAACAAACTCTCCAAGATATTGGGAACATATACTGACATTTATTCTTCCCAATCCCTTGAGCATTCAACGAGTTGAAAACATAAAGAGATCCAACCTCATCAGTCCAAACCAATAACTCACAGTAACGGTCAAAATAAAATATCTAACCAAGAAACTAAGTGGATCTGACAGCAGCAGTTTGAGGATTGTTCACCTGCTCACACCAGCAGTGTCCTTATTGGAAACAGCCTCTGGTTCCTTCTTTCCCTCTAAGTAAGGCTTTCCAGCATGAGGAACCAGCCCTCTTCCCTCTGCCTGGGCGGTGGGCTGAGTCCCAGCCAGGAAGCACAGAAGGGTGGGGGAGTTTGTTTATGGAGGGCCGATAATCCAGCAGGTGCTTTCTCTGTAGGCTTCTCTTTGTCATCCTCTGGCATCTGCCATCTCCCTCAATCTTCTTCTTCTCCAACCCTCCCCCTTCCCTCTTTTCTTCAGAGCAGCCTTATGCTTAGCAGACACTGAATCTCTAGGCACTCTGGTTTCCTCACAAGAAGTCTGTTGTTTTCTCTTCACCACAATGTAAAAACTGTCTCTTTAGATTTTGGGGAATTGATAAAACTAGAATACAAATAATCTAATTTGTATAGCATAATTATTCACTTAAAAATATCCCTACATTAATACCATAATGATTTCAAATTCATCTTACCTGAGGCTTGCTAGGGTCTTGATTACAGCAAAATCTTTGCGCTGATTTGGTGGAATCCAGCGATGCTTTTCAGCCAAGGCTAGAGTCCTTGATCCAAAGCCAAACATAGAAGAGAATCCAAAGCGAAGTAGCTTGATAGGGCTACTGAAGGTGCACATATCCACTGACTTTAGATGCCCTAATATTGTAGCATTAATACAAACATATGTACATTTTATAAGTGGACTCATTTCCTAACGCTATTGTATGTTAAATTGGAAAGGGGCTGGAGGATCAAAATCCTAGAACACAATTTTGTACAAGACACAAGAGTGCATTCCTGTGTTTGTAAAAGTCAAGAGGAGTGTGCCTTGGAGTGTGCCTCCAAGGGACAGCATTTAAATGGGACACACACTTCATCAACGAAACCGTACCCAATACAATTGTCACATTGCAATAAATTAAAAATAAATTCCAGAAAGCATGTTCCATCCCACAGAAGATCTGAATCATAATTTTGACAAATGTTAGATAGAATCCTGTTTATTCCATGTACAAAAATCAAGACCACTGGATATTTATTATTCTACTCCTTTCTAAAATTTCAGGTGTACAATACTTACCCAATATTATATGCAACGTTGCTGTTTGTGTATGTTGGATTCCATTCAGAGTATGTGTCAAAATATTAGTGGAGCCTGTAAAGATAGAATAATTAAAAAATATTCATGGATGAATTCTCCAAATCAGCATGAAGAATTGTTAAACAAAATTTACAAATGTAGAATGATCACCAAATTAGAGTAAAGAAAGATTTAATAAACTATGGTTAGCTTCTGTTTGGAAACACACATTTTCAACATTGGCACAGTTGTACACTCAACAATCAGATTAGGTTTATTGACCATATCTTTTCTCAATCTTGAGCATTTAATTCAGGTGAGGATCCAACAATTTAAAAGGTAACATTGAACTCATTCTTCATTTATATCTTGATTTTGCAGATGGCACTATTATTCCATTTCTGCACTAACTGAAACCAATGAAATACAATAGATTTGGTTTTCCTGATTTTTAAATAATTACTTGATAGGATTTTTTTTCTTCTAGTTAAGATTCTAGTCTCTTAACGAGACTAAATAGAATAATGATTTTGCTTAGTATACAAATAAGAGTGCTTAATAAGCTCAGGATAATTGTACTGAAGGAGTTCCCATTTGAGTTTTGGATTCAGTAAACTATGTTGGTAAGACCCAAGAATTCCCAATTTAAGCAATTTTGTCTATTTATTGGTTTGACATATTGTACTATGTGAGCCGGCTATTGTTCACCAATTAAACAAATAACACCTTATTGTGATGTATGAACAAATTATTTGTACTTCTGATTCAAACCCTGCATAATTATTTCATATATTTTTCTTCCCTCAGCGAAGTTTGAGAATTATACATTACTAAATATTCCTTTTAAGTTATCATATCTAACTTACCTAACAGAGAAACAAAATCATCATAGGTGGGCAAAAAAGCAATTGGAACCAAGGGACTTTTGCCTTCCTGCTAGCTTCCCCATTGAGTTTCCTTGTGGAAAGCTGTGGAAAGAATTCCTTCCTTCCTTCCTTCCTTCCTTCCTTTCCTTTCCTTTCCTCCCCTTCCTACCCTCTGCCTTCCCTTCCTCCCATTCCTGTCAGCTTCCCCATTTGTTTTGCTTGTGAGAAACTTGTCTTTCCCTTATGATACCACATTTCACAGATTTAAAGTTTACAGGAACAAGAGTTTTAGTAGTGCATCAGTTCTATTTATCATTACAATGACTATTCTCTTCATTAACTTTTATTTGGTATTGAAAAGATATTGGTATATAATAAATGTTGATCAAATATTTACAGTTGCAAGTTTTGACAGGCAACTGAAAGTAAAGAGGCAGCGGAAGTAGCCTGCAGTACTGCACTCTAACCACTGTGGCGGCGCAGTAGTTAAGGTGCAGTACTGCAAGCTACTTCCG